CGTTCTCAGTCTCAGCAGTGACCATACCCCCCTCTCGGGACATGATCTTGCCCTTGACAAACTCCTCCTTGTCGTCGGGCAGGAAGCACTCAGTGCGGATGTCGAAAGGCCGGGTCTGGGCCTCCAGCCGCTCCTGCTCGGACTTGCGGAGGTACGGGGCTGCTGCCCCAAAATCGGCCATTTGGGCATCAGTCATCTTGTCGTTCCTCTGAGTAGACAGGTGGGCCAAGGCCTCAGTGGGTGGCAGTACCTTCGGCACCCCCTTCCTCACCCCACTTCCTCACCACCTGGGTGCTATCCCTCCCCCCCTTCTGCCCCCGAGATGCACCTGGAAGGGCCCAGCCCTCTCCCCTTGGACTCAGCTTCTCTTGTCCTCTGTGTGATGGTCACTAGACCCTCTGGGGGTGGGGGCGGGGGTCTGAGTGGGGTGGAATCGGCCGAGGTTTATCAAGAGGCAGTGCCGAGAGGCTGGGAGGAGAGGCTGCGGCCCCACAGCCTGGTTCCCAGGAGAAGAGTGCCTGCTGTCTGCGGAGAACACTGGGGCTCTCACCTGGTTATCTCCTCACAGAGAATCCTGAAGGATTCGGACCACGGTGGAGCCACAGAGGTCAGCCAGGAAGAGAGAAGAACAGACAAGGGGGATGATGAGCAACGTAGGCAGGCGAATGACGGGGAGCAGAGCAGGAGACGCCACCCAGAGAAGTAGATGTTAGCAGGTCGGACGGAAATGGCACTTAGGGAGGGTCAAAAGGCAGAGAGGCAGCGTCGAAAGGATGCAGCGGTAACAGAAGCGAGAGGGGTCAGATTGGAAACAGCTAGAGAAGTAGATTAGAACACAAAACAGGAAGGAAGGACGCAGGGGAGAGCTAGACACAGAAGTGAGAGTGACCGTAGTGACAGACACAAAATAAAACTGGATGGAAGAGCGGGAATCCCAAGAGAGAATGATGGAGACATTTTGGAAGATACAGAAAAAGGGAGATGACATACAGCCAAGAGTGCAATCAGGAGGTCTGGCTGTTCCTTGGCACCTCCCCTCTATCAGCCCGAGCCTCCAGGGGCTGCAGAAAGGCAGTTCTAGCAGGGCCCCTGGGCCTCCAACCAACTCGCCCCCCAGCCCCCGCGAAGGCTGAACCCCTCACGCGGGCGGTGCAGGCTGGCTGAGGGCTCCCCAGTGCCCCTCTTACCCTGTTCACAGGAGTGTCTGTCTGTCCCTGGGTCCCTATTCCTTTATATCCGGCTGCCCCCGCCCCTGCCTAAATTTGGAGCTCCTGCGGGGTCCCTCCCTCCACCTCTCCCCCTGCGGGCTCCGCCCCCTTGATCCCTTGGCTCTGGAGGTGACAGGAGGACAAGATGGGCCTCCAGATTTGCCCATGAAAGGTCTGTCGCCCTCGCCCCTCTAGCTCCAAGGCCTTTTTTTAGTCCTTGGGCACATTCCTCCCTGCCAAGGGACTGATGGGCAGATGCTAGGAAGACAGGACCTTCTCGCACCACCTTCCCCGCCCCCCAGGCCTTTTCCTGGGTTATTTTTAACCTGAAGGGTGAGTTGAACACACTGGGTGAGGGTCACCTTCTCCGGCAGGCAGGCCCGATGCTTGTCCCCTTCCGTCCCCCCTCCCCTCATGGTGGGTGGCCTTCTCTGTCCCCACCTTCTCCTTTGACTTTAGCCTATCCCCACACAGCCGCAGGCCGGGGACATCTCCCTGCTCTCTCTGACCTGCAGTCCCACAATGCTAGGGCTTGGGATCTGGCAGTTTCCCTTTGTCAGGAAAGGAACTGCCGAGACCCCTCCCTTGCCGGGCCATGCCTGGTTTCCTTCTGTCCCCCAAGTCTCAAGTGTCTTTCTAGCACTTAAGTCTGCGTGGGTTTGGGGACACATTTGGAGCCCATTCCCTGATGCTTCGGATACGGTGATCACTCTAACTCTCAAACAACGGAAGGGAGTCCACCACACACAGACCCACACTCCAGCACCCTCCCGGGAGACCTGACCAGCACCCACCACGCCCGTGCTCACCCCCACACATGCAGATTTTGCACACACGTGCTCACACTTCCCTCATACTGCACTGCACTTGTCTGTATACCACTTTTGCACACATAAGCTTCTACTCTCTGTGCTCCTGGTATGGGGCCGGGTGGGGAGAGGCAGGAGGTGATAATCCTGGGGGCCTGAGGGAGGAGGGGGGCTGCCCCCTTCCGCCCCACTGGGCTGCCAGAGAGTGCAGGTGCTTCTGAGGCTTGCTGGGGTGCCTGGCTGGCCTGGGGATTTACACCAGTTAGGCCCCGGGCTCTGCATTCCGGGAGTGTGGGGGGTGGGGTGGGGCTCCGCAGTCCGCTCCCTCTGCCCCAGGTGAAACTCTGGTGTCCCCTCCCAGCCCTCCCGGGATCATACTCATGTGCCCTTCTTCCTGGGTGTCCCCAAGTGCCCCAGGCCCTCAAGTGCCTCCAACTTCACCACCTTTCAGAATCTATAGGTGTCAGGTCTTCAATAGGCCGTGCCTGCTGTGACTAAGTGGACATTGTGTCCAGGAAACAAAGCCAGACTCCCCTGCTCTGGCTCTCCCCCACACCCTCACACCCAGGAACACTCTCCCAGCTCCCCCCTCCCACCCCATTTACTGTCACCTCTCAATATAGCTCTAGAGTGTGGAGGTGGGTAGGACAGACAGAGGTCAGTCTCTCCTGGTAGAACTTTCCATGTGGCTTCTGCCGCAAGTTCCCCAACTCCTAGGACCCTCCACTCCTTATTATCAGATTCGGGAATACACATTCCTCTCCAGGAGGCTTATACATTCGTTATACCTAGTCGTCAACCCCACACCCCCATCTCCTGCAGGTGCATAAGCCAAATTACCCACAGGCCACGCGGGCCACCTGTCCTGCGTCAGGGTCACTCGAGGCCCCAGTGCACTGGCCGGGGGTTATCCCGTGGCCCAGTGCTTTGCGTCATTGCCTGGTTCCCAATGCTCCAGGGACATGATAAGGGGGCTGAGAATACCAGATTGAGCTGGTTCTGGTCGGGGTGACACAGACTCGGCTTTGTCCTCAGGGAACCCTGTGTTTTGAGCAGGCCGGGCGTGGTATAGGTGGAGTGGAGGGTGAGGAGTAGGCAGACAATTCCAGTGTCTCCCACGGAAGGCAGGGAGCTAACTTGGTTTCGGGGCTCTGGCCCCGTCTCTGGTCTGGTTTGCCCTCCTTTTCCTTTCTTAGGGGCCCTCCTTTCTCCTGGCACTCACGGCCATCCCTGCCCTCCATTGACACTCAGCTGCCTTCCTAAGCAGCTCCTCGTCTTGCTGGAAGCCCCAAAGTGTGGGCACCTACTAGGTTCCTGCCACAGGTGAGGGGACGAGGAGGCTGGGTCGGCCTCTCTCTAGCCCAGCTTCCTGTACCTCTGTCTGTCTCTGTCTGACACCCTCTCCCTCCCCCTGGCTCCCTGTCTCAGGGCAGGCAGGCCCCCCATCCTCTGGCACCAGGCGTCTGTCATCTCAGGGTCTGGCTTCTCTAAGCCTGGCCTCTGCTCGCTCTTGCCTGTCTCATCTCGCCTCCGCTTCTTGCTCCATCTAGTCTCACTATTCCCCTGCTTTCCTGATTTTCCTCGCATCTGAAGGTGACCCAGGATTCTTTCCTTGGCCCAGACTCGCCCTCCAGTTCTTCCGGCTTCTCTCTCAAGCTCTCTCCTCTCCCTCCCTTACACTCTGCTGCCTGCCTGCCTTCTCCCAGCACCTAGAGCTTTGGTTCTCGCTTGCTCTGCTGCCCCCTGCATCTCCCTTTGTGGGGTGTCCCTTTCTTTTCTTTGGCTGCCCTCCAAGCCCATTCCTAAGAAGAGGAGGGGTCCTAGAGGGGGAATCCAGGAAGCTGTGAGAAAAAAGGTGGGGGGCTTTGGATCTATTTTCCTCTCTTTGTTGGTTTCCCTGTCCCCTAACTTCTTGATCTCTCCCCCTCTCTCTTCACAACCACCCTCCTCAGGTCTTGCCTTTTACCTTCCCTCTCCCCGCCTCTCAGCCCCTGCCTGCCACCTTCTCTAGTTCTGCCTCCTCGCTGGGGTAAGGCCTGGCTCTGGCTTCTGCAAGTAGAGCTCAGATCTCAAGGGGTGCTGGGCAGGTTTAGACGATGGGGCTTGTTCCTTCCTCCACTTCCCAGGCCCCCATGACCCTGCCCCTGTCCTCCCAGAGTGCTCTCCCTGGTCCCGCCTCTGCCTGCCACCCCTTGACAGGGTCTGCCGCAAAGGGGCCCAAGAGCCCCCATCTTTTGGCAAGCCGAGAGGAGGAAGAACTTGGAAGCAGAACTTAGAGTGGAAAGAAATGAGCTAGAGGAGTTCCCTGGCCTGAGGGACCATGTTCCAGCAGGAGATGAGGTGGAGAGGAAGAAGGGCCAGGTAAGTTCTCCTGGTTGTACTGAGGTTGGGGTGCTGGCCTCTGGTGCTGGTAGGGAACAGTGGTAGCTGTGTCTGCAAGGCCAGTGGGTACCCTCTCAAAGGCCCACCTCAGGCCAAGTCTTGGGTTCTTACCACCACCTGCCCAAGGAGGTCAAGCCTCAGAAGACCCAAAAAGGGTATAGTCAGTACCCTCACATTCCACCCCACAGCTCTTTTTGGGGAATGCAGACCCACAGCAGATGGGCTTGAGCACTCTAGATAAGCCTAAGGGTTTTCCTGAACCTTTGACCTTGAGTGTCCCCAGGGAAGTGATGGGAAAAGAGGTGTCACCTGCCAGGAGGAAGTAAGGGGCCTTAGGGCCAGTGCTGCACTGGGGAGTGCTCCATGCTTTGTAAGTACCCCAGGGGGGTCTTCTAAGGCTGGGCTTTCAAACTGCTCTGGTCTTTCTGGAGTCCTCCTCCCTGACCTCACCTCTTCCCCTCCTCTCCCCTCTCCCCTCAGTCTGCCTCCCATGTGGCTGGCAGGCAGTGAAGAAGAGTCTGGATCTCAGCTGCAAGGAAAATTCTTTATTCAGCTTCCTCCAAAGGGGCTGCTGTCTGTGCTGCCGGCCTGGGAATGTCACTGGTGTCCTCAGGTTGGGCTGGTCAAGGCCACATAGTGACGCTACTCCTCGCTCAAGCCCTTACAAAAGGAAACAAAGTTCAGTTAGCTCAGAGAGGCGGGCATCGGGCAGGGGTGGGCACAGGAAACAAAGGGAGGCAGTTGCCCCCTGTGTGTGTGGCCCATGGTGGTGGTGGGAGATGTGTCCCGGGGATTGTGTAGTGGGGATGGCTCGGGGCCAGCCAGAGGGAAGCTGCCCGGGGATCCTCTGGGATGTTCGCTTGGGGCCAGACTTACAAGGTCAAGACCAGATAGAAGAGAAGTAGAGCAGTTGGGGAAATCGGGGCATAGTAGGTATATGAATTGGGGTCTTCGAGGGTTGCTGAACAACCTAGGGCTGGGTTCACAAACCACTGAGAGTGTTAGAAATCACGGAGGGCTGAGTAACCTCACCCTCTGCCGCTTGGTAGATAGTTGTGGGAGATGATGAAAAGGAGGCATCCTGGGGGGAGAGGGATAACAGGAATGCTGATGTGGGGGAGGGGCGCTGCCACGGCTGACCAGCCAGGCCCGGGGGACCCACCTTGGCGCCGATGTCGCGGCTCTTGGCCCGCAGCTTGTTGACCTGGGACTCGGCGATGTCTGCCCGCTCCTCTGCCTCGTCCAGCTCATGCTGCACCTTGCGGAACTTGGACAGGTTGGTGTTGGCCTGCTCCTCCTGGGGCCAGGGGACGGGGAGTCAGATTCCCAACCTCCTAACCTCCTGGCCTGGCGGCCTGACTCCCCTGTGCCCCTCCTCTGGCCCAGGCCCCACAGGGTCCCTCACCGCCTCCTCGGCCTGGCGCTTGTAGGCCTTGACCTTCAGTTGCAGCTTGTCCACCAGGTCCTGCAGCCGCAGCAGGTTCTTCCTGTCCTCCTCTGTCTGGGGGTCAGGGTGATCAGCAGTGAACATGGCCATAGGAGGCACTGTGCCCCCTCCCCACATTTGTCAGCTTTACCCTGAATGCCCCCAATTATTATTATTATTTTTAATGCACCCAATTCTACTTTGTGAGCTTTAAAAGACACTTCAGTTCTTATAATTTCTTATCACAGAAGATGTAAATATTTTAAATGATTTGTATAAGGAAAGAATGCAGGAATTTGGCCCTTCCTGATGGTGCAACTGGTTAAAGAACAGCTCTATGAAGCTCTCCACAGCCACTGCAGCACGAGTTCGACCCCTAGCCAGGGAGCTGACCCACATGGCGTGGCAGACCTCTTCTGACCCGTCCATTGCTCCCTTCAGCAGAGTATTTCACTGGATCTGCCTGTTCAGTTCCCCACTCGGTCTCTGGTGAATCCTTTCACCCCCGACATTTGGCCAACACTCCAGTTCTTGTGTGCATAAATAAGTAAATCTTTTCAAAAATGCAGGGAGCTGTTGGGACTTCTGAAACTGCACAAAATTGTGTGTGTTCACTGTTCTGGTGAGCAGGATTACCCGGGGTCTTGCATCCCCACAGAGGATGACCCCCTTACCCCCCCATTTAAGAATGCACAATGTGCCTGCAGGCTAGGTGTGATTTTCTGGGCTGCAAGGAAATGACAGAATTGATCTAGGTTAAGGACAAGTATGCATAGAGGGATGGCAATTTTTCTGCATAGGAAAAGAAACAAAATTGAATTGAGTCTGATTCCAGTAAGCACTGTGGAAACCTAAAGTCCACAACTTCCCGGGTGTCCAAAGTGCTGAGATTTGTCTAATGACTTGCCAAAGCTTGGCTATATATGGACTTTCTGGTAATCTTTGGTGGATGAGGTCTGTCTGGTGTGTGGTGGATGAGGTCTGTCTGGTGTGTCCCCAGGAGACAGGTTGAGGGTGAATGCTGAGGTGGAGTTGACAGATTAGGAGAATCAGAGACTGACTGCCAAACCAGAGGACCCTCGGGGTAGAACAGAGAGGCAGAGTAGAATGAAGTAGCTGCCCCGTCACTCCACACCCTAGAAGAGGCTAAGAGGAACACTTCACGTCTTAGCCTAGGGTGGTTGTGACCCAGGCCATGGCGTGGAGGCCCAGCCCCAGCGCAGCCGCCCACCACACCTGGTAGGTCAGCTCCTTGATGCGGCGCTCACTCTTCCTCATGCCCTTGACTGACTCCGCGTTGCGCTTCTGCTCAGCCTCCAGCTCATTCTCCAGCTCCCGCACGCGAGCCTCCAGCTTCTGCAGCTGCTTCTTGCCGCCCTTGAGGGCGATCTGCTCGGCCTCATCCAGCCGGTGCTGCAGGTCCTTGATGGTCTGCTCCATGTTCTTCTTCATGCGCTCCAGGTGGGCGCTGGTGTCCTGCTCCTTCTTCAGCTCCTCCGCCATCATGGCGGCCTGTGGGCGGCACAGAGGTGAAGCAGGCGCTCAGCCCCAGGAGACAATGGCCTGCAGCGGGCGGGGCGGGGGCTCACATCCGTGATGGCCTTCTTGGCCTTCTCCTCGGCGTTCCTGCACTCCTGCACGGCCTCCTCCACTTCCGACTGCAGCTGGGTCACGTCCGACTCCATCTTCTTCTTCTGGTTGATGAGGCTGGTGTTCTGCGGGTTGAGTGCGTAGAACATGAAAGGCGGCAGCACCCATGAGGGGCTCCCAAGCCTCACCTGCCATTCCCTGGCAGGGGCGGGGGGCCCAGGGGAGACGCTCACCTGGGAATGCAGCAGCTGCACCCGCTCGCTGGTCTCGATCAGCTCCTGCTCGGCCAGCTTCCGCGAGCGCTCGGTCTGCTCCACCAGGGCGCGCAGCTCCTCCAGCTCGGCCTGCAGCAGGGTGTTGCGGCGCTCCACGATGGCGATGTTCTCCTTCAGGTCGTCGTTGGCGTGGACCGCCTCGTCCAGCTGGATCTGGGTGTCCTGCAGGTCAGCAGAGGATGGGCATGGGACGGGAGCCAACACGGGCCCATCAGAAAGCCGTTCTGCCAAATGGATGCTGGTGGAGTCTGTTTGGGTGGCTCCAGAGGGACCCATGGGTGTCTCTGCAATGGCCCAGGAGGCAGGAGGGACCTGGAGCCACCATGGGACACCACCGCCCACTTGGCCCCATCGAGGCCAGTCCCCACTCTGATTTCCTGCATCTGAGATCTTCATGTACCTTCAGCAAGCTCTGGAGGTTCTTGACTTGCTTCTGGGCCTCCGAGGCCGTGCGGTTGGCCTGGCTGAGCTGGATCTCCATCTCGTTGAGGTCACCCTCCATCTTCTTCTTCACCCGCAGCGCCTCGTTGCGGCTGCGGGTCTCTGCGTCCAGGGAGGTCTGCAGCAAGTCCACCATGCGCAGGTGGTTGCGCTTGGCCTGCTCCATCTCCTCGTCCTTCTCTGCCAGCTTGCGCTCGATCTCGGCCTTGATCTGGTTGAACTCCAGCTGGGCGCGGAGGATCTTGCCTTCCTCGTGCTCCAGGGAGGCCTGGGTGTGGGGGAGCAGGGACAGGGGGTCTGAGGTGGAGGGTCAGGGTACAGTGCCAGGGCCAGGACCTGTCCATGAATTGTGACTATAATATGAGTTCAAGAACCGTGTACATGGGTCCATAAAAGAAACAGGAGGAAGAAGAAAAGAGAATTGAAAAGGAAAAAATAACCCCGTTTTTAAAAGAGTGATTCAGGCCCTCACAGAGAAGAGCAAGCTATGAAGACAAAGAGGAAAATGAAGAGAAAGATGTTGCCAAGGAAACAGGCAATCAGGCACAGAATGTTAAAAAACAAAACAAAACAAAAAACCCAGGAGGGAAGCAGAGGTGGAAAAGGGGAAGGGAGGGAAACAAGACAACATAACCTAAGTTGCTGTCGGTAAAATGCTTAGTGGAGGGGTCCCAGGACGCATCCATTCAGTCATTCCTCAAAGAGCTGTTGAGTGCTACTGTTGCCAGGCCGTGAGGGTGGACGGTGGACACAACAGGCACAAGGGAGAGGCCCAGCGTGACCTTAGTCTAAAGCTGGCTTCCTCTGGCCGCCATGCCAGCCCCTGTTCCCGCTCACCTCCGCCTCCTCCAGGGCGGACTGCAGCTCCAGCTTCTCCGCCTCCAGCTGCTTGCGGACCTTCTCCAGCTCGTGGATGTTCTTTCCGCTGGAACCCAACTGCTCGGTCAGGTCGGAGATCTCCTCTGGGGGGCAGAGGGGGCGGATGCCGCTCCGTTAGGGGCTGCCTCTAAGTGGCGCCACTGGCGAACCTGTCCCCCATCCACCCACCCCGCCCCTCCCGGTCCCTGGTTCGCGGGCCCCAGTGCACCCTGCAGGTTCTTGTTCTCCCGCTTGAAGGTCTCCAGGTGTTCCAGGGACTCCTCGTAGGCGTTCTTGAGCTTGAAGAGCTCGGTGCTGAGAGAGCGCGCCTCCTTCTGCGAGGACTCCAGCTCCGACTGCGACTCCTCGTACTTCTGCTTCCACTCGGCCAGGATCTGTGGGGACCGGGCTCCCTGTGAGCCCGCGGGGGTCCGCCCCCAGCGGGGCCCCTCCGCTGGCCCCTGCCTCCCCCGCCAGGGGGCGCCCCTGCCGCCAGGCCCCTGCCGCGCTGCGGGACCCTGCGGGCCGGCCAGGCGCACCTTGTCGAAGTTCCTCTGCTTCTTGTCCAGGGCGGCGGCGGCGGCGTTGGAGCGCTCCACGTCCACCATGAGGTCCTCGATCTCGTTCTGCAGCCGGTGCTTGGTCTTCTCCAGCGAGGAGCACTTGGCGTTGACGGCCTCCAC